ATTTTCTTTTTAGGAAGCTGTAACCTAATGGAGAACAAAAATTTAATGTTATATCAAAACCTCTTAATTGAGAATTATATTTGCAAAGGCCGTTTTAATAATATACTCAAAAGTTCTTGGAATCGTTGTTAACAGAAACCTGCAAAAAATATATCATTTTATTCCTAAAATATAAGATTCACACAATGCACATTCATATAATATCATTGTGCTAGAAAAATACTAGGTAGGTACTGAGACAATTTAAAAAAAGTGTTTCGAGAAACTCAACTTTTAATGTCATCATTGTACTTAACTTTTTTATTGCTAAATTATTAATAATGTCGTTTTGTGTAGTTCGTTGTAATTTGTATAATATATATTATAAAAACCTATCGTCAAAGTTAATGTGTCAAGTTTTTTTTAATAATTATGTCCTTGTTATAGTAAAGACACATTTTTAAAGTTTTCTGAATTTATGCTTTAAATTATTGTACAATTCAACTGACTAATTTTGTGTTTAAGTAAAGGTATATCTCTTTTTTGTTATAACAGTCTTTGTATATTGTTCTAACTTTTAAGATAATCAGAGAAAACAGTAAGACATCTTAATATATCCTATTTCACCAACAAAAATGTAGAATAATTAATCTCATATCAAACGAAAAAAGTCATTTTAGGATGTCCTAATAGGTTTTAACTTAAAAACTAAATAAAATGTATATTGCAACTGTGTTTAAATAAATGAATGTTTTTATACCTGACTATAGTACCAGACAAACATTTTTTTAGATCATAATGATCTGCATAACTCAAAATAGTCAAAATCCACATTATTTAAGTTGTTCTAGTATTGTTTTAGCATAACGATGTAAACTCCAATAATAAATATTCACATTTTTTTGGGACGTTTTTTAAGGAAATTAAAAAAAACATGAATAATGTGATATTCTTGTTTAGTATTGTACTATATAATATAGTTCATTAGGTAGTGATTTAGAAGCAAATTATGTTCTATTTATAGAATAAAAAATCACTCATTAATATCTAAATATTTATACCTATTTATATTTTGGACAGGAAGACTATTTTATGTTTTTGGCTCTGAATAGTTTTCTTAAGAATTTTAAAACCTTTCTTAGCTCTTTTGGGATATTCCATGCATATCTTAGAAGTTCATTTTGTTTAAACCTAAAACAAATAAAGTACAAAAAATGAAAATTTAAACAATACACAAAATTATTCTTTTAGATTATTTAAAAAAAAATATCAACAAAAAAATGGCTATGCCTTCTTCCTTAAACATTCTTTTTGAAATAAACTTACTTGCTGTTTTAGTATTTTAGTAGCAGATGAATATAGTGTAGAAGTAGTGACAGGATTGATTATTATACTTCTTTCGTCGAAATTGCATTTTTCTTTAATATTTTCCTCCCCTGAGGTCTATAATTAAAATGTTCATCAGCATAAAAAGTTATTCAGGTGGTCACTTGTTGAATTCCTATATTTTGGAACCATGTATTTCTTTCTCATATCAAGAAAAGGAAACCTAAAAAAATAACAATAAACTTTACAAAGATGTGATATTAAAATAATAAGTAATTAACCTTTACTATAATCATTATGAGACGAATGAAGACGAACTTAGCTGGAGTTTACTTGCTCTTAATTTTAATAAGAAAATAAGAAAGTTTAATTGCAAATTAAAGGTGATTGCCTAATGCACCGCCTCTGATAATTAGGTTGTGTCTGTACTTACTTATGATATCTTGAAGAAGCATTTTCAACAGGCCTTTTACACATAAAGCATGTTTTCACCATATTATTAGAGATAATAAATCTTAAATATACATTTACAACCCTTACAACGTTATAAATAATAATATTTTCCGTAAAATACAAATAAGAAATTGACATGTGTCAGAAAGTGTCAGAACTGGCGCTCACAGAACACTTCTGGCGCTGTCAAACTTGGCAACGCTGATTAAATAAGCCAATTACAGAAGAGGTATTTTCCCCCTCGGGGGGAGTAGATGTTGCTAACAAAATTTAGCGCGGGGAAGGGGGGAAGACTCCCTCTAGTAGTAATTGCTCGGAGGTCATTACAGGGTCAATAATACATATAGATTGCTCAAAGCGGGTCGTTTGCGAGCGGCCATATTGCCTCGCAATTGCTCAATAATCAGATTCGATTTTGCAAAAATGTGTTTACAAACCAATATTTAGCCTTATAATATAGTAAAAAAAATAATTACCTACATTTTTACTTCAAGGCATAAGCTTATGTTTATTTTGAAAACTTTAGATGATCAATACGTACTAAAAAATATACCGGGTGTCCGCGCGAAAACTTTAAATGGAATTATTTCTGGTGTTTTAAAATATATCGACTTGAAATTTTGGAAGGTCATTAAGGAAGTAGGGGGTAAATTAATAGTGTATAAGATACCACTATAACGTAATATCTGCCGCCCCCAGCCACCCCCGGTTCAAAAGTTTAAATAACACCCTGTATTTTTTTTACATATTCTGAAAGAGCGTAGTTTTTTTAGTATCTCTATGTGAAAAAATTACTTAATTACATAATGAACTTTGAAAGATATTTACAGCTAAAGGTTCAAATACCAGATATTAAAAAAAGAACTAGTAACCTTGGACAGTAGACAAATTTCGAAATAATTAAAGCAGATAGAAACAAAAATATCTAATTATCCAAAAAAATATAACTTATCACAAAAAAATACAACTTATCACAAAAAATACAACTTATCACAAAAACAGGTATTCTTATAGACCAACAAAATTTCGCTTTATAAACTAAAGTAAGGACTCTTTTTATTTTTTTAGTTAAATCAAATGTTCAAAATGTTCACCGTTTACATTTAAACAATAGTACAGTCTATTCTCGAAAGCGTTCCGAATATTTTCAAAGACATGTGGTGTTAAATCTCTACATTCCTCTATGATTCTATTACGCAAATCATCAATGGATTGTGGTGGTGTCCTGTAAACAACAGACTTCAAATGTCCCCATAAAAAGAAATCCAGTGGGGTCAAGTCTGGGGAGCGAGCTGGCCATTCAATAGGACCCCTACGACTTATCCATTGTCCTGGAAAAACGGTATTTAAATATTGCGTTACTTCTAAACAGTAATGAGGGGGAGCTCCGTCTTGCTGAAAGTATAACTGATCCTCCTGCATTTGATCTAAGTTTTCTTCCAAGCACTGAATGATAAGAGGATGTATTAATTCATCTAAAAACTCGAGATATCTAGGCCCAGTTAAATTCTCGTGATAGAAAATTGGACCAATTATTTGGTTATTTAGAATTCCAGCCCATACATTAATTTTTTGGGGACGTTGCGTATGGCCTTCTCGGAAAACGTGGGGATTAACATCGCTCCAACATCGACAATTGTGTCTATTTACGAAACCATTTAAGGAAAAGCAACTTTCGTCACTGAAACAAATATTTCGCAAAATATTTCTATTTTGCCGAATCATGCCTGTCATAGTTTCACAAAATTGGACTCTTCTATCGAAGTCATCGTCGCCCAACTCTTGATGAAGCTGTATTTTATAAGGATGCATTTTATTTAATTTTAATATTTTATGGCACGATGTTTTTGCCACTTCCGAAGCTTCTGATAATTTTCTAACTGAAAGCTGTGGGTCTAAATTTACGTGACCAAGAATTGCAACTTGCGTTGCTTCATTTCGTGCTCCACGATTATTCATATCACGTTTTTTATTATTTACCGATCCAGTTTCAAAAAATTTTAGTATTAGATTAATTACATAAACAGCAGATATATTTTTGTAGGGATGGTTTTCGTTAAATAATGCTGCCGTCTGAGAATAGTTTCTGTTTGCAATCCCATATAAAACTACAATTTCAGTTTTTTCTTCCAAACTGTAAACCATTTTTCTATTTTTTTAGCTATTTAATTTAAACTAAGTCAAATTTTTCGAAAACTTTTGTACTAACGAGTAAACAGAAGTGTCACAAACAATATTATTTGACAGTTCAAGCAACGAAGCAGCTTTCATGGCTTGCTATTATTTTTTGCTTTCGATATTTGTATATCTGGTATCTGAACCTTTAGCTGTAAATATCTTTCAAAGTTCATTAGGTAATTAAGTAATTTTTTCACATAGAGATACTAAAAAAACTACGCTCTTTCAGAATATGTAAAAAAATTCAGGGTGTCATTTAAACTTTTGAACCGGGGGTGGCTGGGGGCGGCAGATATCACGTTGGAGTGGTATCTTATACACTATTAATTTACCCCCTACTTCCTTAATGACCTTCCAAAATTTCAAGTCGATATATTTTAAAACACCAGAAATAATTCCATTTAAAGTTTTCGCGCGGACACCCGGTATAAAAAAAATCACATTACACAATATGAATATTCAAATTAAATAAAAACATACAAATGAAGTGAATACCAATCATTTTAAAAGACCGGCCGATATATAGTACTATTAAACTCTAAAATAAATAAAGTTAGGGGACTTTAGCCCTAAAAAATGGAGTCACAATTTGTTTAGCGTCTTCATCTATACGAAAATTGTGTCTTTATATAACATATTTTTCACCACGTATTCTATATACAAGGCAGATTATGAATAATTGATTAAATTTAAATATTTTATTCTAAAAGATCTGCCCATTTTATGTCGAACACAAAAATGTCATTTAAAAAAACTCTCATATTTTTCTTAAATTGGCAGTTACCATTTCGGAAAAAATGGCGTGCAAGATGGAATCCTATGTCGCGACCCCCTTAGATATAACAGAAGTTGAAGAATATTTTTGATCTTTTTAAAATGTTTATTTTAGCTTATAAATTTGTTATATATGCATATATTTTTTTATGTTAAAAGTAATTATTCGTTTACTATTTTTTTCATTAATATCACTATTTTATACAGAGTCTTCAACAATACTCGTATCTTATCTTGTAAGATTTATTATCCTAATATTATAAGATAATCTTTAGTTTATTTGTTTTCAGATATATTTCGAAAGAAGTTGATTTTCGACATTATGGAGAACAGTTCATGAGGAACAAAAAACAAACATGAATGATACTCAGTCAACAGAAGTTATAGTAAATGTAAGTGTTTTAAATTGATTTTAAATATATTTCGCAAATTTTTAAATTAAAATTGCCTTAGGCTGTACCTTCTTAATATTCGTCACTGTTTTATTCGAAGAGTTGTAGCCTATACTCCGGCCAATGCCTCGTTAGGTAGTAAATTATATCGAAGTTTTACCCTGGAGTATCGGAGTAATAACAAGCATAAATTGTAGGTTTTTTCTATGTGTAAATAACGAAGAGAAAAAATAAGAATATAATAAGAAGACATCTATTCCTTTTTTTCATAAATTTATTTGAAAAAAAATATTTTTTGACACAAAAATAAAAATATTAATTATTACGCTCTGATTCATTGTGTCTATTTCTTTCCGGAGCCCTTCACAGCCAGTCATCTATTTTAATTTTCCTTTCTTTTTTGTTTACCAATTTATCGAATCTGAAAATGTTTCAATTAAATGACAATATAAACAATTGATAATAATTTAAAATATTTATTCATGAAAGCTTTAGCTATTTTTAACTTGGCGTCTTCCTATTTTTCAGTGAATGAAAACAACTTACACAACTCGTTCCTTGAGGAGAGCTATGCATCTTCTGATAAATTCACACACATTATTGCTAACTTGTGTTTCAAAATACTATACCTAAAATAGTTATTTTTAAAGTTAATAAATAAATAAATAATGATTAGAATGTATAAAAGTCTCATTTTGTTGAAGGAAATTAAGTTACCTTCTTCATTCTGGCTTGAATATCTTGCACGTAAAAGGATTGTTTCTGCATTTGCCAAGCCTGATCAAACTTTGAATTGAAAGTGATTTTTCATGAAGCTTTATGTACAAACTATACACGTCAATTTAGCCACCCATTATCACTTTTAGTTTATTTAAAAGTTTATAGAGAAGTTGTTCATTACTTTTAAACTTTATTATAAGCGAGGCGATATTTTCATTTGTACTGTAGCTCAGTGTTACACTTTAAATTCAAAGAAATAGATTTTATCACGAGGGCTTCTGTCAAAAGTGTATTTTTTTAGCTCGCCAAGGATTAACCGAACTCTCCTGCTGAGCCAGAAGGTAGGGTATATTCATCTCTGTCGTATTTGCTTTGCACTCTTTTTGGAAGGAACTAATAAAGAAAAATGTGACTGTTGCAGTTGTCTTTTGAAATAAAAATATTGTTCAAAATGTTCAAATTTAATATTGGAGTTTGATATTATTGTATATCTCTGGTGATAGCAGTAATTTTATTTTATAATTTATTGATATTTCAAAATAATTAAAACGAAAATAGAATACCTATACATAATTACGATGTTTCTAAAACGTTCTTTAGAAATCATTCCACACATCGTAGGGACGTACCATTTTTGTCAGAAACATATAAACATACATGGAACCTAAATGGGATGTTTCTGATAGATCGGTATTATTAGGGATATTCCATAAAGTAGAAAGACGACCCTTCATAAAAGATGAACTAAAGCTTAAGTATAAAATTTGGGGTTTTTCTCTTTATCCGTTTCTAAATTTGCACTTTTTCTCAAATAGCTCGAATACTATCCATTTTAAATAAATCATCTATAGGACAAGAATTATATAAAATTACATTATAAACAACTTTTAATTAAATAATTTTCTCAAGAATTAAAATTTTGCCCTTTTTGTCAAATTTTTTGAATACGGATCATTTTATAAAAATTACGTATTTGACAAAATTATAGAGAATAATATTATAAGCAATTTTTATTAAAGAATTTTCTTTTCCAAGCGTAAAAAACACATTTTCTATAAAGTAGAAAAACAACTCCCTATAAAAAAATATACTGTACAACTCGAGTGGTCTGTTGATTGTCCATATTCACTCGAGTTGTACAGTACATTTTTTTTACGATCCACTTTCGAAAATCTACAAATTTAAAAATTATTTTAGGTAATTTAGACAAAATAACTAACTTTAAAATTATGTGTGACCTTAACTAAATTATAAAATAAAATAAACATGATAAAAAAATTTTAATTTTAATTCCCCCCCCCCCCCCCCCCCAGCCGAGATTCGAACTCGGGTCTCTCGCGTGAAAGACAGACACCTTCTCCTCACCTCCAGATTTGGGATTTTAGTTCTAATACTCGTAATTAAGTTAGTTTTATGTAGTTTGAATAAAATTTTAAATTTATTTCAAAATGTGGACAAAACAAAAATAGAAATGCTATTATTTATCGATTCTACACAAAAATAATTCATGTATATTTAATCTCAATAGGTAACTAAAAAATCTGATGTGTCCAACACATGACTTTCCCATCTAGTTATTACAGGCTTTTTTCGGTTATTTTGTACAACCTATTGTAGCACCTCTGTAAATATTTAGAGGTTAACTTAATATATACATTTTCCACATACATCTAACTTGAAAATGCTGAAAAATTTAAATTTTATAATGTTCCTCTAATTTTTCAATTACGGTCCATTTTAGAGAAATCATGTAAAAAACAAAAATTATAGAGATCGACATAGCAAACATGTTTTAGTTCAACAATTTTCTTAAAAATCAGAATTTTGTACATTTTGTAATATTTCTCAAATACGGACCATTTTAGGAAAATTTAGCATAGAACCAAAATTATAGAAAATAATATTAGAGGTAACTTTTATTTAAAGAATTTTCTTCTCCAAATGTAAATAACAGATATATTTAATAAAATATAAAAACTACCCTGTATTAAGTACCCTCTGGAGTTCACCTCAGGCCAGAATAAAGCTTAAGTTTAAAATTTGGTGTTTTTCTTTGTATCCATTCATGAGTTATCGTGGATACAGACACACACACACACACACACACACACACACACACACACACACACACACACACACACACACACACACACACACACACACACACACACACACACACACACACACACACACACACACACACGGATACACACGGATACACACGGACACACACACACACACACACACGGATACACACGGATACACACGGACACACACGGACACACACGGACACACACGGACACACACACACACACACACACACACACACACACACACACACACACACACACACACACACACACGGACACACACGGACACACGGACACACACACACACACACACACACACACATACAGACACACACACACACACACACATACAGACACACACACACACACACACACACATACAGACAGACACACACACACACACAGAGACACACACACAGACACACAGACACACAGACACACACACACACACACACACACACACACACACAACACACAACACACAACACACACACAACACACACACAACACACACATACACACACAGACATCATCGTGAAAATAGTCAAAATGGATTCAGGGGACCCCAAAACGTAAAAATCCGTCGAAAACTCGAGGTCGAAAAAATTATGATTTCTATACAGATAGGAAAGTAAAAATATACTGATAATTAGTTTGACAGAATTATCACTTATTTAAAATTTTAAAAATAATAGTAGTTGGGTGACCAAAATATGAACTGTGATTAATGAATTTCATTTTTTAACAGTGTTCTCACTACCTAGAATGGATAGAAAATATATTTGTTTAGTTAAACGCTTTTTCGTTTTGTAGTCTGTGCGTAGATAAGCTATTATCCATGTGGGTGTATAAAAAAAACTATTTAAATTTGATTTACTTGTCAAATATACGAACTATTAATCATTTGACATGTGCCTACTAGATTAGGATTTAGAAATATTGAATCGTTACAAATATCTAAGCAGTCTTTTGTTTAGAAGCAAATTTCTACAACACCGTTCAGTTTAGCTCCATAAAAGGTTATTAATCTTTTAACTAAAAATAATACAATTAAAAAATAAAAATTGTAGCGCACTGCTAAAATTTTAAAAAAGTTAGATTGTGCCAAAATATTACTTTCTTATGGCTGTTTTCCACTAAACGGACAAAACAAAAACAAAACAACCTCGTGTCGAAAAAACCAAAACTGAAGCTGAAGCAAAAGGTTTTGACGTGTTTTGAAACTCAAGTCTGTTTATTGGAAACGGTCGTGTTGTGTAGTCTAATTTATAGTAGGTACCAAGTCGGTATAGGTAAGTACCTAAATAACGTATTTTTTTATAGATAAGTAATTTATTTTGAAACACTGAATAAATTTATATAAGCATAATTATTAGTAGAATGTATATCAAACCAGACTAGGTTAAGTCCAAGTATTATCCTTTTTAGGTTTCCATGATGTCACATAAATCTTTTAAACTACTTTTATATGTATTTTCAGTTTGGATCTTAAAAAGTAAATATAAAAACAAATAAAATACTGAAAAAATGTATTTTGACTTCCTCGCGACAACCAGTGGAAAAGAGCCGAAAACAAAAACAAAACTGGAACAAAATGTAGTCCGCTTGATGGAAACAAAAGTTTTGGGTTTGTCTTAGTTTCGTTTTTTGTTGTTCACGTTCCAGAAAACACAAACATTTTTTTTTATGTATGTATGTTCAGCGATAATTCTTTAACATGGTGTCCGATTTCAATTATTCTTTTTTTGTTAGAAAGGGGGTACTTCAGGGGTGGTCTCATATAAATTTGGTCAAAATATAATAATTGGGTCCATGAGAAAATCCTCAAACTCTTCATTTTTTATGTATGTTTAGCGATAATGCTTTACCACCTTGTCCGATTTAAATGATTCTTTTTTTGTTAGTAAGGGGATACCTCAGGGGTGGTCCCATATGGCATCTGCACGTTTTATAAGTCGGTTTTTTAAATTTTTAATTTCTAATACTGGTTTGTATTTTGTTTAATAGTGAGTTTTACTATTATTTGTGATTATTATGGTTAAGGTTTTTTGTGCAAAGTGATACACACGAGTGTATGGAGGTGGATTTTATTCAGATCCGTGACATTTTAGCGCGGGGCATTTTCGTGCCGGAAAAATTAACTGCGACAAATTTGGGCCGGGTCAAATTATAGTGATATCAATTTGTGCA